GACTGCCTGAGCCTAGGCTTCAAGACCAGCCTGGGAAACAGGGACAAACCATCCCATTTAAAATAAAGTATCCCCCACCTCCAAAAAATAAATAAATAAAAAATGGAATGGAACGACTTATGTATGATGATTTGAGAAATCAGCTCCCCCCAAAATAAAGATAAAGCAAACTGCTGATTCCTCAGAGACGAGAAAAAAAAAAGTTTGAAAAGGGAAAAAGTCCACTAAAAAAAAAAAAGACATGGAAACGTGAGCTAAAATAAAAATAATTAATGAAAGAGGGGAGAGCTCTCAACAGTGTTCTTACCACCACTCTGAGCCAATGAAGACTAATTTAGTCATCAATGGAGCTAGTGACACAGGCAGACTTCCGGGTCCCTGGTGTTGGGTTGTGTTTTGGGCAGTACTAGGGATGGAACCCAGCGCCTTGCATGTGCTAGGCAAGCAAGCACGCTGCCATGAACTACGGACTCAGCCCTTTAAAGATTTTATTTAGAGGCAGGATTTCACTACATTACAGCAGCTGGCCTCAAACTTGCAGTCCTCCTGCGACTCCAGGATTACAGGTGAGTCCTCCTGCGTCTCCAGGATTACAGGTGAGCACCAACACGCAGAGCTGGCCCTTAGCCTTCCCTGTGCCAGACTGTATGTCCTGAAGTACTTCCTAGTAATCTTCCAGAAACTTGTTCCAGGACCACCCCATACCAAACTCCCAGGATATCAAAGTCCCTTACATAAAGTGGGATAGGTTCTGCACAGAACCCAAACACATCTTCCCCCATCACCTCTAGATTATTTAAAATACCTAACAGAATGTAAATGCTATGTAAGGAGTTGTTTTACTGTTAGGCATAATGACATGGGAAGAGGCTGTACATGTTCAGTACAGACTCAACCTTTTTTCCCCTAGTATTTTCAATCTATGGCTGGTTAAATGTGGACTTTGAAAATTAGGAGGGTGGACTACAAATCCTTCTCTGAAACACATGGCACGGTACCACTAATTCAAGACAAATAACCCAAGATCACTTTTCATCTAAAATGACCTCCTTTTCCCTATCACAAACAAAGGCCTACACCACCCCCCCAAATACCAACTGCACAAGCTGCTCCTCTTCTTATTGTATACCAACTGAAAACTACTATGGTCACCTGTAAAGATACAAAAGGGAAGCCAGGACACCATGCCTGTTCACTATCTTACACTTCAGTGCTTTACACTGCGTTTCTCTATCTCTCCTTTTAACCATCATGGCCTCTGCCCTGATGTTCAACACATGGAAGTGAACTTTCAGATGCAGTCTTGGCCTTGCCCTAGATCATTCCTTTTTTTGTACTAGGGATTGAATCCAGCAGTGTTTAACCACTTAGCCACAACCCCAGATCTGCTTATTTTTTGAGACAGGCTCTCATTAAGTTGCTGAGGCTGGCTTTGAACTTGTTATCCTCCTGCCTCAGTCTGCTGAGTCCCTAGGATTACAGTGTGCCTAGCCCAGCAGATTATTCCTTCTTTAAACTGATTAACAAGTTTAAGGCAAAAATTAGCATGCTATTTCATACCTACTTTTTCGGGGGCTAATTCCAACTTCAAGTCCTGAAGGCACAAACTCAGGGGTGAGTCCATAAACTCCTTCAGCACTTCAGCTGACTCAGAATTAAAGAGAAAATGGGTAGTCCAAAAAGGACTCAGCCTCTTTCTTCCAAAGGGTGTCCATGTCTTATTCCTCCAACAGTGCTATTACGACTCCAAACACAGAAGCGGGAACATGTTCCTTTACCACATGAATTCACCCTTCGCCCTCACCTGGTCCTGCCCAGATAGTTCTCCCTCCTCTCTAGCCCTTTCCCAAACTAAAAACTTTCCCTAAGCATTTTTACCAGAAGAGTTGATTTCGGACCCAAATTCTGTGCATTGAAAGCTTTCCTCCGAAGGAGAGGCTGCCATAAAACTTAAGAGCAAAGAAAAGAGAAATGATTATTTAAAAACAAACAAACAAAACCGTTTTCCAAATATCTACATACTCAAAATATAATGCAGAGTATGTTAGGTCACAATAACCAGCAGAACCATTACACTTCCTGACTTTTTATGGCCAGTTGCTGTGTTTACACTTACCTGAAGTGGTAAGACATTTGTTACATTTAACATACACCAGAAATGCAAAGAGGAGACAGGTAATAGTGAACTCCAAACCCTGGGAACATTTCTACATTCAGCAGTACAAGATTTGTACTGCAATTCAAGCCTAATTGGGAAGAAATCTAATAAATCTGATCATGTTTCCCCTCATTCCCTTATCTAAAGAAGGAGCAAAGTTTGGATACAAAACTCATAACCTGCCTCACCTCAAATGAGAAAATTTGTCACTCCTATTCATCCAGGGATTCATTCCAATGGTTAAATTGTAGCTGAGAATGGCAACTCAAAAGGACACCTTCATTTACTCAGGAGGCTGAGGCACAAGGATCATGAGTTCAAAGACAGCCTCAGCAAAAGCAAGGCATTAAGCAACTCAGTGAAACCCTGTCTCTAAAAAAATACAAATCAAGGCTGGGGATGTGGCTCAGTGCCCCTGAATTCAATCCCTGGCACCCCTACACCCCCGAAAAAAACAACAATTTAGGGCCTGCCATAGTGGCCCATACCCATAATCCCAAACACTGGGGAGACTGAGGCAGGAAGATTGCAAGTTGGAGGCCAGTCTCAACAACTGAGCTAGTCTAAGACAGAGAAGAGGGGGAGAAGGAGGGAGGCAGGGGGAAAGCTGAGGGCATAGCTCAGGGATAGAGAGGACCTAGGAGCTACTCCCAGTACCACCAAGAAAAATACGTACATACATTCACTGAAGTATTGTCAAAGTTCACATCTTTTTTTTTTTTT